ATTTATTATCAAGTTTGGGATTTGCATCAAAGAAAAATGCCTGGGCGGGGCCAGATCATTGGAAGTATCAGATGGGTAAAGGTAACCTTCAGTAAGGCTTTGCAAGAAATATCATAATCTTTTTTTCTCCTGTTAGTTTGGCATTAAATAGACTTGTTTTACAGATTCTGAAGATCCAGCAAAGGATAATGGATTACCAAAGACCAAGAAAGCAAAAAACAGAAAAGCAGAATCTGACATTGAGTTGTCAAATGCCTTGGACACTGATGCATCAGATATCTTTGCTCCTCCAAAGAACCCCAAGTCCCTATTCCTGCCAACAAATAGAGCACCTTGTAACACCAAACTTCCAGAAGACTGCCATTACCAACCGGAGAATCTTGTGAAGCTATTTCTGTTACCTCATGTTACGGTAAACTTCGACCATCCCTCCCTATCTCGCCTTCATGAAGAAAGGCAGAGGCCTATAAGTTAGTGGTGAAAACAAACACATGTATCTTGCTGGAACTTTAGTTTCTCTACGTGGTCACAAAATTCAATCTTGGGTTATGTATTGATTTATTTTTGTATTTCCTTATTTCAGTGCATCAGAAGGAGAGGAAGCAAGACAACAGGTGAGGATTTCTTCTATGAATCTATATTATCCAATCACATAAATTGGACATTGGGATGCTCAAATATTTAGCTGTATTCCCAGTTGCAAATGATTCGGCATGTTGATAATGTTTAGAATTTTATTTCAGCATCTCCAAGTAGCATAGAGTCATAGACACATGCAGAGTATCAATTGCAAAAAGAGCGCTCTTTAATTGATTCAGAAAACAGCTGTAACATTATAATGTAATATATTGGCTTTATTGGTAAATTAGAGACACAAATATTCCGAAAAGTAACCTGAGTATCTTTGCTTGGTTTTTGTCTTATACTCAATCTAAAATATTACTATGAAAAAATTCTATAATTTTAGCTCCAAACATAAAATTTGTAAGTTTTTAACACAAACTATGGACCACTCTGATGCTCGGACTTTTTGAAATAGTTGAAGTACACGTGTCGGACACGACACGACACGACATGAGTATAGGTATGGGATATGTGTCGGATCCTCCAAATTTCAACCGAACACTTCATTATTTTTGCTTCCTCTTCTTCTTCTTCCTTCCTTTTTTTTTTTCTTTTCCTTTTCTTCTTTCCCACTTTTGCTCTCTATAAATCTAGCGTCATCGCCAAGAGGGTGGAAAAAGGCGGTGACGCTAGGTTTTACCTTCTTTTTCTTATTCTTTCCATTTTCTTCTTTTTTTCCCTCTCTCTCTCTGTATCGGTGGTTTAGGGTTTTGTTTGTATAGAATGAAAATGGGTTCTATTTTACATAACATTTAGTAATTCTCATAATTGAAAATTAAACCCCAAAATTCAATTTTATTCGTCTTAACTCCTTATTAAGTACTTATTTCCTTCATTGCGAATCATTAATTTTGGTCTATTCAAAATGACATCCTGAATTAGTAAAAAAATTGAAATTTGAAAGACGTACCCACATACCCGTGTCTGAAATTTGGACTCTTTTTAGCCATGTCCTCGTATCTTATATTTTAGAAAATAAAAGATCCGACGCTTA